CCAGATGTAAAACAAATACATACCAAATGAAGTGAGAGTGGGAGACACGATGACTGGGAGTATTATCAAAAACCTACTGGAAGAGATAGCACTTGAATAGAACTTTGAAGGGAGCTACAGGTTCATGGAGGTAGAAGTGAGGAGAAGCATATTCTTGGTATAGGAGACAGTCTTTGAAATAATGATGAGGCAGGAGGTAGAATTTCCTGTATGGAGAACAACCTATATGTTAGTTTAACTGGAGCACAGAAAAGGTGAGGGGAAGTATTATGTAATCAGTCTGGAAAGTCAAGCTGGAGATAGATTCTGGAAGGATTAAAATGCAACAAAGGAATTTGTGTTTTATGCTAGGAAAAAATAGGGAAACACTGAAGCTTCTTGAGGAGGGGAGTGACATGCTTAGATGAACTTTAGTTACATCAATTTTGCAATTGCATTTAATATAATGGGGTGATTTAACAGAATGGGAAGAGACATGATTCAGGGACCTCAATTAGGAGGTTAGTATCTTATTCTATAGTTTAGATTAGAGTGATAGGAGCAGGAAGTAAGGTGGCTGTGGTATGAGCAGAGAGTAGGGGGCAAATGCAAGAGATATTAGAGGGGTAGAATCAACAGAATTCAACATCTTATTGGATATAAGTGGGGGAGGGAGAGGGAGAAGGGAAGAATTGAGAAGAGCTCTAGGTTTGGAATCTGGGTGTCTAGAATAATAGTAGTGCCCTTGATGGGAACTGGGGTGTTAGGATATTGGAGGTTTTTGAGGAAAAGATAATTACTTGTGTTTTGAACATGTTTATTTTGAGATGCATCTGGTACATTGCAAGTGGTTGGGATATACAGCAGATAGCTAGTAATGCAGATCTGGAACTTTGTACATGGAATGTATTTGTGTGTCTTCTGTAGAGATTATAATTAAATCCTTAGCAGACTTGAGAGAAAAGGAGTGTTAATTAGGAAGGGAGATTCTTATTAGAGCTGCATAGTCATGATAGTCATAGAGCATGGGAAGCCAAGATTTAAAAAAAGCATATGTATAGACTGAGAGAGGAAACTATAAAAAAACTATTCATGTGACTAAACTCAAAAGCCACCCTTTGCACCACTGATTCATTGAATGACTTTGAATGCATTTGCACTATACCTCTCTGGTCCTCAATTTCCTCATCTGTAAAAAAAAAAAAAGTGGACTAAATGATCACTAAAGAATTATCTAGTTCCAACATATTATATAATTATGTACTTTTCTTTTTGGGAGAGATTAGGCACCTGGACTCAGTTATTACCCTCCTTCACCAGAAAATACATACACACATTGATTTTTACTGAGATGACTTTTGCCCGAAGAGATCGTGATTGTGGAAAATTGAGTAACAATTCCTATTGCTCAGTTGTAGGATTCTAGGTTTTAAGGAGACAAAGTGGTACAGGGGAAGGCACACTGAATTTAGAATTGGGAAACCTGGTTCTGATGGTGCCTCACAGGTGTTCTTTACCTGGTGTGCATGAACTTTTTTTTAGTTTGATAAGTGTTTCAACATAATTGGTTTACTTTGTAATCTCATGTATTTTATGTTATGCACTTAAAAACATTATTATCAGGAGTCCATAGTCTTCACCAGATTATGAAAGGGGTTTATGACACCCACAAAAATTTGTTAAGAACCTTTGTCTATAACACGATTTTAAAATAAGGTCCGAGAAGGTCCGTAATTTGTAGATAATACCAAAATGTTAGGTATGAAAGAAACCCTAATGGATTTACTCCTTTCTCTGCACACTTCAGTCAATTGCTTACCTCTACTTCTTTGAATGAAGGGTATCTCTTACTAGAAACGTGGTCTTATTATACTAGCATATCCATCCAGATGCGCAGTTCCTAGATTTTAAGAAGGCAGTAATTTTTCTAGTCTACTCAAGATTATACTTCCTTGTGGATTATGTAGACCCCCCTGGTTTAACCTATTCCTGTGCTCTGCATGTTACCTTTCCTATAAACCTTTTCAAAGAGCAAAAATAGAGGGATAAGGGAAACATCAGATCTAATACAGATTTTGTTTATAAGTAGCTCTAGGTAGAAATGGAAAGTGCTAGACAGATCTGATGAAATGAGAGGATTTTCATACAGTTGATTATCCAACCCCACCAGTCTGGAAAATAAAGAACTAGGGAGATTTGTGCACAAAGTCACTAACCTTAGCTTTTACATGATGGTGCATTGCTTCTGATCAGTGTAGTCTCAACCACTCTCCTTTGCCAAGAGGTAAGCTCTTCCCATCCCTTATAGCTCTGCATAAAAAAGCCTAACTGGAGCTTCTAGGCCCCTTGAAATTAGAGGATTCTTGGGCTGGGAGTCTTTGAGAGTAGCCTCAGAGGAGACGTTCTCTTCCTAACAGCAGCGTTTATGTAGATTGGTCAGGTGGAACCTTGGGTGGGATGGGAATGATGAGAGCCCTGGATGGAGTATTTGGAGATGATGGTTCTAATGGGGAAGTGGGAGGAAAATGAAAGAGAAATATTAGGAAGGAAAATGAGCAAAGGGAGAGGAAAAGTGGTAGAGAAAAAAGGAAGAGGGAGAGTAGTAGATTAACATAGAGGAGAGAGAGAGGGAAAGAGAAAAAAAGATTAAAGAAGATTAAAGAAAGCATATGGATAGAACTTTTGACTATAGTTTTTATTCATTATATTAGGGATATTGCTATGTAAGGAGCCTTCCTACTGCCTACATTGTGGTCTTGGGTAGTTTCTGATTTATCCCAATAAGAAAGAAGACTTAGAAAAGTCTGAAGTTTCCCATGGCTAGATCAATCAATCAATCAATCAACAAGCAGTGGTAACCATTTGCTATGTACTAGGCAATGTGCTAAGCCCTGACACAGTTCTTGCCCTCAGGGTGTATATCCTACGGGAGGAGCTAACATGCATATGAAAACATACAGAATATACCCTAAAATAATACACATTTTTGGTTTAGGAGAGAGAGCCCTAGCACCTGAGTGGACTAGAAAAAGCTTCATGAATGTAACCACTGAAGTAATTCTTAAATCAGGGATTCCAAAAGAAAAAGAGAAAGAGGGCATACATTTCAGGGGAAAGCCAGTGCAAAGGAACAGAGGTGGGAAATGGAGTTTCCAGCATTCTAAGTGAATTTAGAGTCCTAGAAGGGGATCAAAGTATAAGAAAATTGGAAAGATACAAAAAGGCTAAGTTTAAAGAGCTTCAAATGAATAGAGGAGGATATTTTTTTTATTTGATTTGATCTTTGAGGTAAAAGAGAAACACATGACTTTGTTAGGGGAGAGATTGTGCGTGTGTATGTGTGCATGTGTGTGTGTGTGTGTGTGTGTGTGTGTGTGTGTGTGATATAATCTGTATTTTAGGGAAATCACTTGGGCAACTTCATGAAGGATGGGTTGTAGTGGAGAGAGTCTTGATCATGGCAAACCAAAGAGTATTACCAGGGTAGTCCAGGCAAGAGATGACAATGGCTGCATTTTAACTAATTTTAAGGTTGGTAGTGCTTGTCTACATTGGCTTTCATTTTTTTGTCTAGGTCACAGGACCCTCCTATCCCAGAGTTCTTTATTTTAAGTGAAATTCAGCCACTTTTAGAGGGTGTTGGGTGGGGAACTAAGGCCTGAGTGTGTGGGCCTTTCCAAGGAGATTCACTTTATAACTAAGGAGCCCAAAGAGAAGAAAGTCATGAACTCACAGAAAGAAAGCTTTAAAAGGGGGATATTTCAGGCAGCATTGATTGGCAGGCAGAGAAACATTTGGGGAGCAGAGGACCTTTCCTGTACCTCTCACGTCTTACCACTTATATGTCCACTTCTTCCTAGTCCTATGGATTCTAGAAAAAATAATTTACTTCTGAAATGACCAATTAATGAATCCACTAAGCAAACAGTCTGTCCTGTGCTTCCCCATTCCCTTCACCCACAGCCTATTCCTGCTTTGCCAGGATGTGAGGGAGTTAAGAAAATACAAGATATGTATCACCTATCCTCAGGGCCTTCAGTCAAACACAAGCACACAGCCATTATAGTCAGGCCTCTTAGTTTGATAGATACTTTGGACTGAGTGGAATTTCTCTAGATACTTTCAGGATAGATACGTGAAAGATATTCTTTGCATAAATCTATACCTTTTGTTCCGGTGAAGCCTACCTGAGAAAGAAGAAGTATCATTAGAGTAGTGATCATTTGCTAGTCAGGAATCTTCTTTATACTGAGTTCAAGCCAGTATGGGAATATTGTATTAGATGGGTCAGCCTGCTTTTGGTAATATGGATCCCCAAAGAGCAGGGGGGGCTAAAAAGTTGTTGTAAGATTGAGAAGGATAAGAGTCCCCCAAGCAATTTGAGTGAAGTAGGTAAGGCTTCCCAAATTGAATAAGAGTAAAAAAGTCTAGGTGTAACACTTCACTGAATTCTTACAAGTAGCATGAATAAGGGTTCCATTAATAATATTGATAGGGATATTACTTGACTGGAAAGGTCTGATAGGGAATTAGGTTTAGGTGATAGAAATCCTTCCAGCTAAAAATAGTTCTTTGCTTGAGCAGCATACAGGTCTGTTTTCCACCCCTCTCCCTGTCTAAGGTTTAGTCTTTCCTTGATAGCTTGTGTTAGTCCCAGGCTTGGGTTCTTATTCTTGTTTGCATCATAGACCTCTTTGAGAGTCTAGTGAAACATATGAAGCCTTTCTCAGAATAACATTTTTAAATGTCTGAAATAAAACACACAAGATTACAAAGGAAACCAATTATTTCAAAATACAGTTCTTAAACTATTTGGGAGAGAAAAAAAGAAATTCACAGTTTCTATGTAATCCATCCATGGATTTTCTTGGAAATTCATGGACCCTAGGCTAGACCTCTTGATTTATGGGGATAGGCACAATAAGTCTGTTATTATAGGTACCTTCTGTCCCCCTCTCTCTGTTCCTCCAGTTGTGTTACAAAGAACATTATCTGACATCTGTTTTATAGGGCAAAAACATCTACCCCAACACCACTTTATCACCCTCATGAATCACACCAGAGAAGAATTTAGGCAGCCTCCAACTTTTCTCTTTTAAAACACATGAACAGAGATGAGTGCAAAGGAATATAGTCAGGAAGTTAAAAAATAAACAAACAAGCAATAACAATGGCAATAACAGCAAAATGGAAGCAGTGGCCACTGTTGGCCAGCAGACCAGGGAGGCAGAGGTCCAGATATCTCCCTGCTTCTTCTTCCCAGAATTGAGCAGAAAAGGGTAAGGTTGGAAGCAAAAGCTGAAGGGCAGCTTTCTCATCAGTGTGTCCATCATCCTAGGCAATGGCTTGCTTCTCAGCTCTCCATCATCATTGTCCTACAGCCAAGGCAAACCAATGCATCCTTAGCCCTCAAGAAATTTACATTCTATTGGCAGTAGCTTACAATTTGAAAGTTTAGGGCCAGGCTGTAATCTCACAGGCCAGATAATTTTTAGACTGCAATTTCTTGTGCCCTGGGTATTATGTTATGAAAGTCTTCTCTCTCTGTAGCAAGCCTTAAAATGTCACGATAGCTCAGCTGTGCAGAAGGGGGAGCCTATAAGAGGGGCAGAGGCAGGAGATACAGGCAATCAATGGTGGTAGAGGTTGGAGTTTAGGTAGGTCTCAGGATGTAATATAGCTTTGAAATTTGAACTTGTCAGAACTTTGAACCAGTAAGTGATAAACCAACATGACAGGGACATTGGAGCTCTTGACATTCCTGGGTAACTCTTAAGGATTGGCAGGGTCACCAGGGATTTTCCATCAGCAATCCTGATATATAAAGAGCAAAGTCACAGGCAGACAATTCATCTTTCCTTCCAAGACTCTGTTTCCATAATTCCTCATGTTTTCATACTGTTCCACAGTGTTTTAGAGTTTTCACTCATATTATTTTATTCATTCTGCAGAGTAACATTTAAAAATACACAGATTTAATTAATTTATATCTAACAATTAAAGAAAGTGAAAACCTAGGAGGTTAAGTGATTATATATAATCTTATAAATGGCATAAGCCAGTACTTCTGATACTATACCCCAGTAATGTTTTAAAAACTCATCTACTACAGAAAACTTTTCCAGCCTGATTGGGTACACCTAACTCTAGCTACTCTACTCATTCCATCTTTCATTATCACCTACCAACTCCTCAGTATTTGGTTTGATAGCTTTGGGCCACTTTCTTTAGTATTGGAATTGATTGATTTTTTCTTATTTGTTGACACTCTCACAAATCCCCCATCATACTGGAGCATCCCCAAAGACTAGACCAAGGCCTGTTTCATCAGACTGGGTACTCCTCATGGGCGGGGACTCTATTTGCACTATTTGAACAGCGTATTTCTGGGAGCAGGTAATTGGAGGAGATTTATGTCCAGTGTGGGTGGGATGAGGAGATGATGCAAACCTGGGCACTCCAGGTTGGTAGAAGCAGAGCCTTAACAGAGTCTTCCAGATGCACTGACACTTGATACTATAGATGACAGGGTTGAGAGCAGGTGGTACCAGGAGGTAGGTGTAAGCCACCAAGGCCAGAGGCAATGGACCATAACTTCCAAAACGGTGCATGACTGAAAGTCCAATCATGGGCACGAAAAACACTAGGACAGCAGCCACATGGCTCACACAGGTCCCTGCTGCCCGTATTCTCTCTCCCCATGACCCAGGCCCAGAATCACCCTTGCTATAGGAATGTAGGAGAGAATGATGAGGACTGAGTCAACACCAGCTGTAGACAAGATAACAAAAAGACCGTAGTGAACGTTGACCTCAGTTTCATTACGTGCCAGCTTCATGATATCCGGGTGGAAGCAAAAAGAGTGGGTAAGACTCCGTTGATCATTATAAGTTAGCCTGAGCAACAAGAATGGCAGTGGGAGCAATGTGAGAGCTGAGCGAACCAGCACAGCTACTCCTACCCTTGCAACCACTCGGTGAGTTAAAAGAGAAGAATACCTCAGTGGACAGGCAATGGCAGCCCATCGGTCTACTGCCATGGCTAGCAGCACTGACGACTCTGCCACTGAAGCAACATGAATGAAAAACATTTGGGTCAAGCAGACATCAAAGGCCACATGACTGATACCAAACCACAGCAATCCTAATGTGGTAGGTAATGTGGTGCCTGATAATGCCAGGTCAGTAATAGCAAGCATGGAGAGGAAACAATGCATGGGTTCACGGAGTGATGGATTCCGGGCTACTGCCACCAAGATGGCACCATTGCCTAAAGCAGCTGCCAGGTAGAGGAAGAAGAAAGGAATAGAGAGCCACTTGTGGATATCTTCTCTCCAGGGTATCCCAAGTAGGAGAAAGGCTGGCAGTTGGGACACTGTGTGGTTGGATGACATGACCTAGTGGCTGAGGGTGGTGGTACTCCATGCAGAGTAGGTAAGGGAGGTCCAAAGGCTTAACCCAGCTCTATGGTGTGTGTGTGTGTGTGTGTGTGTGTGTGTGTGTGTGTGTGTGTAGAACGGGGTGTCTATTTAGTACTAAGCTATGAAAGACCTTAGGGTAAATCCTACATGTAATTATGACTTCAGTGACCAGTTGAGGAGTATTCAAATGTGAGACTGGGCTATGTTAATCTGTCTACTGCTGAACTTAGGAGACCCGATAGCCTCTGATACCAGGATTAACCCAGGGAGGATTGCTCTACTGATATCAAAGTAGAGTTTGAAAGTGTGACCAATGAGGAACTCCTGGGTGTCAAGGTAGTTGAGATATTTTCTTCATATACTATGATGACCTTGCTCTACTGGAGAATGACACCTGGGGAAAAAAGAGACAGTATTAGCTTAACCTGGTTACTTATTTAATAGAATCAGAGGATTAGGGCATCTCAGAGTGACCTAAGATACCATCTGTCAGTCAATAAACATTTATTAAGCACCTATTATGTTACAGACACTGTGCTAAGTGATAGGTATACAAAGAAGTCAAAAGGTCTTAGGAGCTCATAGTCTAGTTCAATCCATAATTAAATAGGATTTTCTTCCATAGCATAATTGATAAATTTTCATTCCACTTCCAACTGAAAAATTCCAGTAATGCGAAATATGCTGCTTCTTACAATAGTCCTTTCTAGCTAAGTCTAACAAAGTAAACTAATTTATATTTACCTAATTCATTCATTTCTCTTGGGGTTAAAGAAAATCCTGCTGTGGATCTAATCCCAGAGATTCTAATTCCCCATGCCTTTGGGCTGAAATTACTCAGTGACAGTCCCTAAACCTTTTGGGGTCATCCAATTCCCAGGTACCTTAGGCTGTATTCTTGTTTCTCAAGTCACTATAGCCTCTTGGCATTGTTGTCTCCAAGCAATATGCCTTATTCAGAACTTTTCTCTATTCTCATTATAATGTCCCCATGCCTTGTTAGATCAGGTTTTCAGTCCATTCTAAGATGACAGACACCTTGCTAAATAAATCATGTAGATACACTAACGAGAAGGGGATAGATCTCAGAATCACAAGGTCCTTTGTTGCTCTAAATCTATGATGTTATAATTCTCTGCCATAAAATAGCATAATTAGAAAAAAATCTCAGGACTCATATAGTCAAACTTGTACCAAAACAAAAATCCTTTCTACAATATAGTCTAAAAATGGCAATTTGGACTTTGCCTGAAGATTTCTAGTGAGGAGGAAACCAATATTTCTTGAGGCAGTCAATTCCACTTGTGGTTAGCTCTTATTTTTCGAACTAAATATAGCTCTCCTCAACTTCTATCCATTGTTATTAGCTTTACTGTCAAGGGCCAGGACATACATGCTCAATTCCTCTTTTATATGATGCCCCATTCAGTCACTTGAAGAAGATAGCTGTGGGATTCTTTCTTGAGTCTCCTTTTCTTCAAGTTAAACATCTTAAGTCCTCTCAGCTGGTCTTTGCATTCCATGACCTGGAGGCATCTAGTCATCTCCATCACTATCCTCTTGGATGGGTACCAGCCTGACAATGTCCTTTCTAAACTGTAGGACCCAGAACTGAATGTAACATTCCTTATCTGGGCTGTTTAGGTCAGAGGACTGGGAGACTTTCATCTCTCATATTAGTGATATTATGTCAGTTAATTGAAGACAAGTTTGCAGTAGTTATTTTGACTTGCCACTTGGCTCTTTTGATTTATGATTTTCAGTCATCCAGTCAGGCATTTAATATTTATTAAGTGCCTACTATGTGCCAGGCATTGTGCTAAGTGCTGGGGATACAAATAAAGGCAAAAGACAATCTTTGCCCTCAAGTAACTTACAGTCCACTGAAACTCTAAGATATTTTTCACATAGTTATTATCTAATCAGTTCTGCTCCATCTTTTACTTAAAAGTTATGACAGAAATTAGAAAAATGAGGGGCAGCTAGGTGGCACAGTGAATACAGCACTGGCTCTGGATTCAGGAGGACCTGAGTTCAAATCCGGACTCAGACACATAACACTATCTGTGTGACCCTGGGCAAGTCACTTAACCACATTGCCTAAGCAAAAGAAAGAAAGAAAGAAAGAAAGAAAGAAAGAAAGAAAGAAAGAAAGAAAGAAAGAAAGAAAGAAAGAAAGAAAGAAAGAAAGGAAGGAAGGAAGGAAGAAAGAAATTAGAAAAGTAATTTTGAGCATAAGAGAGGTCAAAATATATCCTGGGAGACTAAGCTAGTAGGATCATCTTTAGTTGGGAGGGAAGGAGTATAGTCTTGAGCTGTATCTTGAAATTCAAGAAGGATGTCAGTGGGTGGAAATGTTTAACTTACTCTTCTGATAGCCTTCATCAGAAGCAAAGGAAGAAAATATGGGGGAACTCTGGATATAGAAATAAAGAAATGGAAGTGTTGACTTGGTGCCTGATGTGAATTGGAACTCAGGAGGATTGCTCCTTTCTCTGGTGTCTGCTATTTTATACTGTGAAGTATATCAGACTGCTTTTGGCTTCAGTGAACCTGTTTTAGAGCAGGGTGAATGGATGCAATAGCCGCTTATGGCAAGGACATATCCAATAGGGCAGCTAAGTGGTCCAGTGGATTGTTCACTGGCCTTGAGTCAAGAAGAGCATAATTCAAGTCCTGCTTCAGACACTTACTAGCTGTGTGACCTTGGACAAGTTGTTCAACATATGGCTTCCTCAGATTCCTCATTGTAAAAGTGGGGATAGCAGCTATCTATCTCCCAGGGTTAGAGTTATTATGAGGATAAAATGAGATGTTTGTGATGTTTTGCAAACCTTAATGCACTATATAAATCCTAATTATTATTTATTTCCCTTTCTTCTTGATCTTGAGGATGGCCCCTCCCTGAAGCAACATATCTCTCTTCTCATTCTTGTCACTACTCTGTCAAATCCTTGAGGCTCTTCTCATAGTGCTGCAGAAGAGTGCTACACAAGTAATTCTGAGATGTGGGATTTTAATTTTGATCTTTACAACTCTGCATCCAGTAATCGCTATGATATGCTGCATTGCCTTTCCATAGTTCCCTGCATCTTTCTTCATTTCCTATTAATGTTCCACCTCACTCTACTGGATGAGATAACAATTTAGCTAGTAAGGTTAAGCAGTATTTTAAGAATAAGGAGTTAGGGAGAGTAAGTCCCATCTAAGAGCTCTAATGTTGAGAAAGTTGAGAAAATATCAAGAAAGTTGTCCTGGAGGTCAATTTTAAGGATGTTCTTCTCTCCTATCTGGTACTATTTCTTTACCATCTGCAAAAGATTTACTCAGAGAGATGAAGTGCCTTATGTCAAAGGAGGCAGGAAAATGGAAATAATATTGAAAAGCTTTTTGTTTGTTTTATAGCTGAGGAAGGAATCACAAAGGAAAAGTTAAGGTGCAATTTTGTGAAGGGGGTTAGGTTGACACTTTCATTTCTAGACTGAGGTGATATGGTGAATAGAGTGCTGGACCTAAAAGCAAGGAAGATCTGAGTTCAGATGTAGTCTTAGGCACTCACTAGCTTTGTGACCCTCAGTAAGTCATTCAACCTATTTCTGCTTCAGCTTCCTCATATAGAAAATGGGGATAATAATAGTACCTCTCTCTTAGAATTTTTTTTAAGATAAGATGAGCTTTGCAAATTTTTTGTTTGTTTTGACTAGGCAATTTGGATTAAGTGACTTGCTCAGGGTCACATTGCTAGTGAGTATCATGTGTCTGAGGTCAGACCTGAGCTCAGGTCCTCCTGACTCCAGGGCCGGTGCTCTATCCACTGTGCCATCCAGCTGCCCCAAATCACTAGTTGTCTCTTTTTTTTTTTTTTCCTGGTGAGGCAGTTAGGGTTAAGTGACTTGCCCAGTGTCACACAGTTAGTAAGTATCATATGTCTGGGGCCAGATTTGAACTCAGGTCCTCCTGACTTCAAGGCCAGTGCTCTATCCACTGCACTACCTAGCTGCCCCTGCAAATCTTAAAATGCTATACAAATGCTAGCTATTGTTATTCTAGATTGCTTTTAAGATTTATATGACACAAGTGGGTATGCACTTGAGGTTTATTCCAGGTGATACTTGAGGTGTGACAGTAGCTATAGCAGCCCACACTGGCTCCTGACTTTCCCTTTCCAGGCTTACCCAGTCTCATTAATCTGCACAACTTAAGTGCTCACATGAAGGACATTCTCAAGATATCTCTGAAGAATTTTAGTATCTACTGTGAGATATGGAAAACACCGGCCCAGGACTGTGCAGCATGGTGTGCCCACATCAAAGAAGGTGCTGTACTCAGTGAGCAAAGCAGAATGGTAGAAACACAAAGGAAACATGAGCTACACCCATCCAGAGCTATTTCCATTCCAAATGTTCTAACAGACCACGTGTGCCAGATCTGTGGTGGTGCCTTCTGAACTTGCATTAGTCTAATCAGCCAGAGACAAAATACTGTGCTCAGACATTATGATGTGATTGGGTTTTGAAAATGCCAGCAAGAGTATGTAGATAATAATTTTGCCCACCAGGGGGTGATCTTCTCCAGCTCCCAGACCTGGGATGCAACCAAGAAAGAACCCTTTGACTTGTATGCAAAACATTATTTTTCTGCCCAAGCACAGGCAGTGGAAACAGCCCAAGCAGCTGGCTTCAGAGTGTGCAATAGGCAACATTGGATGACTCATGTTTTAAATGAATCTAAGATTTCATGCAAATTTTTGGTCATTCATATATATATGTGTGTGTGTATATGTATGTATATATATATATATATATATATATATATATATATATATATACATACATACATACATACATATATGTGTGTATATGTATGTGTATATACATACATACATACATACATACATACATACATACATACATACATACATACATACATACATACATACATATATATACACACACACGTTTCCTGATTGGATCATAAGATACTTGAGGATAGGGAAATTTTGCCTTTCTTTGTATCTCTAGCACTTAGCACAGTGCCTGGCACATAGTGGACACTCAATAAATGTTTATTGACTGACTACAAATTTATAGCTCCAGAATCCTATCCCTTACTCTCTGGGAAATCTCCTAGCTTAATTTCCACCCTTCTATAATAATATTATTTAGGATATTAAATCTTCTGTTGCCATACCATTTATCAGGTATGATAAAATTTCAAAGAGATAGTGAAATGCTCTCTTTATGGGGCAAAGAGAATAAAAGGGGTAATGTTGCTCCAGGGCCAGGTTCTAGGTCCTAGATCAGAACTTAAAGCAATGAGGCAGTGTTAGTAGGTCTTCTGGCCTTAACAGATACTGAGCTTTTCAGAAGCTGCTCTGGCACTCAGTACAGTCTG